AAAAAAAAAAAAAAAAAAAAAAAAAAAAAAAAAAAAAAAAAAAAAAGGAAACCAGGTTTATAAAAGTCTGTACTCTTTTTTTCACTGTTGCAAATTTCCATCGATCATAACCAGTATCCCAGCCGCTATTGATCAATAAAGGCGGGTCCAAGCATTCCTTTTCCCTTATATTAATTATTTTGGGTCATGGCGGGGTAGACTTTTATTGTCCTAAAGATAAAAGCCCTCTATACCAACAAATTTTTATCCCTGATCCAAATAGTTCTGCATGACTTAAATCCCTGATCCCACCAAAAGGAATAATCCTTCACTCGACTTTTTTACTTGTCGAATGATCCCACATTGAACAAAAAGCATCCTGATCCAAAAGTTGTATTTATTGTTTGAGTAGCACCGAAACTGAATTTTATAAACATTTTGTAATTTTCAGCAAAGCATTAAAAAGTGCATTTTCTGTCACCGGATAGTTTTAAAGGTTAATGCCTTTGAACTCTAATTGATCCAGACTAACCCGCTAAGGCTTTAGGTAGCTAAATAAGACCCCCGTCCATGGAAGTACATAAGCTTATGACTAAAATTACCTTTGATTCAGTAGGAAATCAACTTGTTACTTCTGTCACATCTGCCATTCAAACTGCATGCTCATGAATGCCTAGAAAAGAATGTTGACATTGAAATAAAATATCAAAATAATAAAATATCTATCTGTTACTCGATGCACTAGAATAAGTTTATTATTTAGGGAGTGGTCATTATTTATCTCTCGGGGGAGGGGGAGGGGATTGTTGTTGCAACATCATAACAATTAAAGGTTCCCTTCCCCTCTAGAGGCACTTCATTACTTTATGATCAACCCTTGTAGTTGCTACCGAGTGATCCCCCCTCCAACTCCCCCTTGATTCATATAGCTATTTACCTGATTCTTCCTTGATAGCAGAATCTGTCCTCGTTGAATCGCCAGCAAGGGAGACTCTGCTAACAGGGAAACCTAATCACCCCTACATTTGTAGAAAACATGTTATAGCCCCTCGGATTTCATCGGATTTCATCCCCCCTTCCCCCCCCCCC